TATATTAATGATATTAACGATTTTATAATAAATATTGTTTATAATTTCAATCAAATGAACAATGACAGTGATAGTTCTAAATAGTATATACAATAATTTTGGAATTAAAYTGTCAATTTATAAATAACTCTTAAAAATGTAATTACAATTATAATAAATGTCACAGGAATTGCAAGTGTTTTTTATATATAAAAATATAATTTTATAGAATAAGAAAATTAATTACAATAACACATTTTTAAGAAAATTATATCTCGTATCCATTAATGACTTTTCAGCACAAAAAAAAAAAACAATTCTTAAAACATAACACATGATACCCAATAAAAGTATCTTTAAAAAAATAGTTACTAACTTTATCTCGGACCAAGATGAAAGCTTCTTCTGCGATGTGACTTACGTTCACGTAATGAAATATATTCCTGTCTTCTTACACTACATCTGAGTTCTAAAATATTATTAATYTTTTGTACGATATCTTCAGCTACTTTTTGTTCTGCTTCAAAATCATGGTGTTTGAAATTACTCCAAACAGCAGTTCCTTGTTGACTAGGGGCACTATCTCCAATACTAGAAGTTAATGCTGTACTATCATATACAAGTCTTAAGACAGCACGATTGTTGGATTTTGTTTCTGTAAGATCACATGCTACAACACAATCCATGTCATATGTAGCTGGCTTTTGTTTTGTCCATGGAAATTTAGAGCTAGATCTTTGCTTTACAACTGGATCCAATTCTATTTTTTGACCAGATATACCTAATGAAAGCAAAAATATAATGTTTATTACAAACTATTAAAAATGTTTACTCAGCTTTTGTACATGTGTCTATTTAAAAATAAGTTAAGAAGCAAGAATTTTAGGGGTTTTAAAATTATTTTTATGTGRTTGTCATTACTTGCAGCAAAAATTGAATATAATATTCTAAATTGCAGTTTTATGCAATACCTAAATTATTTCATAGGTYAATCTTTTTAATAATTAAAAAATTTTTACTGCCACTCTGAAAAAATAGTACACATGTGATTATCACTATCCATTTAAATTATCATATTCTATACATGAAATATATTTTTAAATACTTTGAATCTATTTAAGCTATTTGTTTTTCAAGACAGTTGTATGTTTWAAAAAAATGTATTTTCAATATAGGTATGCGAGGTGATTGTCCAAGCATGCTAACCTCCATTTTTCTTTAATAAAGCAGTTATTCAAAATCTGATTTTTAGAATCATTAAATATACCTACTTGATGACCATATTTTCTAATTCTTGAGATTTTTATATACCACTTAAGGTATGTCCTGTGGTGATACAAACTTTTGTTTTCAAATGAGAACCCCAAATTGTTACCATACATTTTTAGTGGATAATTTTTTGAGAATTTTKATGTATTGCAATCAAAATTCAAATTAGTAGTTTTTTGAGTTATTTAACTTTGYGTTCTAAGGATAAAGGATCCATGGTGGATTTGAAAATATTAATCATTAATATTAATTCATAAGCATAAATAATTTGTCAAAACAACTTAAGTATCATAAATAAATATTAGTATGTGTATTTTATACTTTTGTAAAATGATTTTTAAGGACTATTTTCCTTAGTACAATTTAATAACTAAGAAACTACTCATTCAAATTTTTAATTAGGTATATAAAAATTTAAAAAAAAAAAAATTATCTACTAAATAATTTATAGTAAAAAAGGGGGGTTTTTATTTGAAGAACAGAAGTTTGTATCGCCACAGGACACTTCTTAATGGTACAAAAAATCTCAACAATTTTAAAATATATTCTTTGACTATATTTTAAAATTCCAACAATTAGAATTTGAATAAATTGATTATTAGGAAAACATGGAGGTGAGTATGATATGTGAATCATCCTGTATAAATTGGTGATGCTCAGATAAGTCAGATATGCAGACAATAAATTGTAGACTACGATCATATATGTACACTGCTTATTCGAGCAGCAATAAAAACAAAGTGGACAAGTGGGTCTACTAACTGTTCTTCTGCACAGTAGTTTTTGAATATATAATTGCAATGGATGTGTTACACATTTGAATTCAATGATAARTCATTGTAGACCAAAAACGCAATTCTGAGTAGTCATTGTACACTCCCATAAATAATTTTTGTATAAATAGCATAATTTCCTGGGGAACTTTTTTGTTGATAAAGATAGATAAAATGTTGGTGAATTTATAATTAAAACTTCTAATGTTAGCTATGAATATAAAAGCGATTATGAATTTCTAACTGAAAAATTTCATTTGGGTATAAATAGTTTAAAAAGAGTCAAAATAGTTTGAAATAAAATTATAACATAGGTATATATTAGTTGATGATTTTAAGTGTCTAGGTTWATTTTTTTAGAATTATAAAAAATTAGCAAAAGTTACAGGAATTTGTCAATTAACAGCTGAATATCAAACAGGGTAAAAACTTTAAATTTTTTCGGTCTTAAAATATTACGATATGGCTTATTATAGATACAATAACTACAATACATATTTTACTATGCAATCTACATAATACGTAGATCCCATAATATGTAGAAAAATGTTGTTATACCACATATTCGAGCGGGTTGTAAATAGAACTTTGATTTTATGGTCTAGGAGCTTGAAAATGTTGTTAATTTAAAAATGTTAAAACAAGGTTAAATATTTATTACTTACCTAAATGTATTTCTATTTTTGCTCTAACTTTATTCAAGATATTCACATGGTATAATTGGTATAAGGGCGCTTCAATAGCAAGAAGTTTATTTAACTCTCCTTCTAGTTGTTGTTGAGCTAGATGAAATAACAAACAATACATTTATAAAGAGAAAAGAATGATACTAGTTGTCTTTTAAATAAAAGATTTAAAGCAAATATTCTTACCTTTAGTGTTTACATTTTCACATAAGACAGAATTTCCTTCCCTAAAACATGAATGTGTTTCAATAATAATACATACACAAATTTAGTTTCTACAAAATCATCTTACTGTGATGTAGGGGAATGATTTGAAGTAACTGGCGCTAATTTACTGTCACGTTCAACAATAGCTAAGAAYCCAAATCCAAATTTAGCAACGGTCTCTTTCGAGTCTAAACATGGAAAGTCAAAATCAACCTCACCATCATCTTCTGCTATGTATAGAGCATAACAATCCACACTATCCCTAATTATTAAACAAATTTAAATATTATTTTTTTTTAATTTTGTATGATTCTAATATAAATATATATTACTTTAAGGTGCAATCTGGATATTCAATAGTACATTTCCAGCAAACTAATCCAATTAGATCGTGTACTTTTGCAGTGGCTATAATTGATACTTGCATAGGATAGTTACGACGTTCTAAATTTAGCATAGTTATAAATATGCCATACTTCCGAGTGGCTTCTCCTAGCTGAGCCTAAAGACATTTTAAATATTAAATATAATACACTATTTTATAAAACAAATGATAAAAATGTGTGTATTTACATTTCCGTCATATTTAGAATATTCTCGAAATGGATTCATAGGTAGATATGGACAAGCTTTCAATAACTTAGATAATTCAGAAACATAATTCTTTTTTTGGAGACTGAGGTCTTTTTTAGGAAATAATTCAGCTTTTTCTTCATCTAAATGTTTAAAAGTCATTATTAACAATATTATTATAATAAATAAAATATGTAAGAAAAAGTATATTTAAAAGGTTAATAATTTATTATAAATTAATACGAATAAAGTTATAGACATTTCATCACTTCTGTACCACTTATTTGTATTTCAACATTATTCGTTTTATTATTAATAACTAATTTTGAATCATATAATATATAAACATTATACTTTATATAGGTATAGGCAGTGTTGGGTAGTAACGTAACGAAAGTAACGCGTTACTGTAACGGCATTACTTTGCTTGTAACGCGTTATGGAATTTCATTAGAATTGTTTCCAAGTAACGAAAATGTAATGRAAATTACTTCTCATAAGTAATTTCTATTGAATAACGCATTGCAGTTTCGAATTATTAAGTACCWACATTTTGCAAATTAAAAAAAAATTATGTCTATAATGCGGGTATTATTATGTTTACCAATCTAGTATAGTAATATACTATATATATTTCTTAAAGCTCCTTATACAGCTGATCTCACAATTTTGAATTCATTGACATTAGTAAAGAATATTTTTATAGAATACAACACAGCTTTACCATCCAGTGCTTCTGTAGAGCGATTAATTTGTGTTTCAAGGGACATTTGTTCTAAAAAAAGGTYGCGTATGAGTGACAAAAACTTTGAAGATACACTATTGTGTAAAGTTAATTTAAAACATAAATAAATATAAAATAATAATATTGTATTATATTGATTTTTTTTT